TTTAGGGCCCCGAATGTGCTGGAACCTAGAGCTAAGACATCTATCTCGGACCCAGCCGGATCGCATCAATCCCTTCACGACCCTATGATCCCTAACAACCCATCGCAAGATCCAGATGGATCCCCATGCTCAGCCGAGCAGTGCGAGCGCAATCAGCGCCAAGGCATTCAGGGTCCGTTCAGAGATGGGTTTGAGAGAAAAAGAGAGAGAGAGGTAGAAGGTAGACAGATCGATGCGGAAGCCATGGCTCTTGAAGACGGGATGTCTAGCGAGGCTGATGACCATAGCTGTGTAAGCACGGAACAGATCTTTGCATTCATGGCTGAGGGGTCTGAGGACCCCAAAAGCGATTTCAAGGATAGCTTTGAACACGAGCTGTACTTGAAGTCACTGAAAGACCTGGAGCTGAAGTGCAAGCAAGGACTCTATGATAAGAGCTGTCCCGATTGCATGCTGTCAAAGGGAGCTTTGCGTCCTCACCGGCGGATCGATCCTGAAAACACTTCCAAGGCGGTATTGTCTCTTGATCTAACAGGACCACATGTTGCTAGTGTAGAAGGTTTCAAACACGCGTTGGTTGGAGTGTACACCTTGAACTCTGGGGATTCCTTGATCTACACCATCGGCTTGAAACGTAAGACCGCCGAAGAAGCAGCAGCGGCGACCGTTCAGATCATTGCGAGGCTGTACTCGCTGGGAGCTCCAGCCCTTGTTCGGATCCATTCGGACGGAGGCGGAGAGTTCACAGGACAGAAGTTTGAAGAGATGACATCGAAACTTGGCGTGTGGAAAACGGTCTCGGCACCGTACCATCCTCAATCGAATGGACGTGCTGAGCGAGCTATACAAAAGGTGAAGTCAGGTGCAATATCTTTGCTGTTGCACGCTAAGCTGCCTGTGAAATACTGGTTCATGGCGATGCGAGAGTATACGTTCAAGCAGCGGCATAAGGTTATCATTGGCAAGGTCCCGGACGACGCCCCAACAATGGGCGACCACATCATGTATCGGCCTGAGGAAACTGGAGACATGATGCCAAAGGCAGAGCCGGGAAGATTTCTTTGCAATGATGATCGCTGTCCCGGGGGAGCTCTTGTCCTAGTTCGCCGCAACGCTAAGGATCAAGTCCTTCGAACGTATTGTCCAAGGTTGATTGACTTCCCTAGGAAGAAGTGGAGAATACATCAACGAGACAACCACATGGACAAGGTCTGGGTATCGACCGCTGGGGATGTGAGCTGGACGGCACCTCCACGTGATGATATACTCACTCTGGAGGAAAGGACAATCGGTCCGGAGTTGAGTGAGGAGCCGAGGTTGGAGGCATTCGGAGATTTGGGATCGTTGGCAACCGCATTGGATTTCAAGCAGTATGGGCATAGTTATGTGCACATGGTGACTTCCAGCGAGGCTCCCAAGTATATTACTGCTTCGGAAGATGAGGAAAGGGAAATGAGCGACGCTGAAAGAATGGCCGAGTTACTTGCAGTAAAACAGTTGGCCACGGAAACGGTGACGAATGCAGTCCTCACCGAAGGAAGTGATGAAAGCAGGGCGAAGTGGATATCAAGTTTGGAGGCCGAGCTCAAGAACATGAAAGATCTTGGGGTATGGACGGTATGCCATCGGGATCAAGTTCGAGCACATTTTCAGCTTGACGAGGCGGAAACACTTCCAGCTCCACTTCCAATGAAGTTGGTCTTAACCAAGAAGCCTCTCCTTGAGGGAGGCGGACAATCTGCAAACGCGGTAGAAGGCTCGCCCGATATCCTAGAACCTCTCTTGAATGAAGTAGATGAGAATGCAAGAGCCGCGACTGGAGCATCCGAGAGTGCAATGACTGCCGAGCTGGAGGCATTCAAGGCTAAATGCCGATTAGTGGTGTGTGGAAACTTCGAAAACGCCCCGGGAGACGACCTGTCATCCCAGAACATTGATGCCACAGCACTGAGGTACATGCTTCACATGTGGTCTAGAAACAGAAAGGCCAAGTGGGTTGCGGGAGCTTTCGATATCAGCGCGGCCTTCCTAAACGCAATGCTGGAGCCAGGCCATCGGGTTTCAATGAGACCGCCGGGACTGTTGGTAAGATTGGGTTACTTCAAGGAAACCGACATTCTGATCCCCAATAAGAGTCTATATGGACTTAAGTCATCGCCCAGGGCATGGGAAAGAGAACGCAGTGACAAGATGGACCATGCCAGGATCAAACCAAGGCCCGGAGATCAGTACGGCGAGCTGGTTATGAAGCCACATCACTTGGTGCCAGGCCTGTGGTCCGTCTACGATGGGACCAACCTCGTGGGGATGACGACCATGTTCGTGGATGACGGATTGAGCGTAGGACCCCCGGAGGTCGTGATGAGGATCATGGAATATGTGAGTGGGCTGTGGAAGGCCACAATTCAAGGATTCCTTGGATGGGAGGGGCGCCAACTTGAGAGAGGCGAACTCAAGTTGGACCGCGTGAATGAGTTGATGTTCTTGGGGCTTCGAATAACCTTGACTGCTGAAGCTGTGTGTATGGATCAAAACAAGTGGCTGAGTCAGGAGTTGAATCGACGAGGCTACATCCACTTGAACGGTTCAGAGACTCTTCCATGTTTGGATAATGCGCCAACGAAGCCGGTGGAGAAGGATGAATCCTACTACAGGGCATTGAAGCAGGTTCAATCAGATATCGGTTCTCTTATGTGGGCATCATTGCGAACCCGTCCGGACATCCAAGCCTGTACTTCGATGTTGGCATGTTTGTCGACGGTGGACCCTGAGTATGTGCTGAAATGCCTGAAGAAGGTCTGGAAGTACTTACGCGGAACGTTTTGGGTCCGTTTGCGATACACGGGAGGCCGCAGCACGACAATCACAACGTATTCTGATGCAAGCTTCGCTCCACAGGGATCGCGGTCAAGGACGGGAATCACCTTGTTCTTGGGAGAGGATCTAATCTCTTGGCGATCGGTGAGGCAAGGGCTCACGGCTTGGTCAACCATGGAATGCGAAACCGAAGCAGCAGCCATGGGATTGCAGGAAGCCGTGAAACTTCAGATTATGATCGAAGACCTCGTAGGAGAAAAGTATAACATACGCTCCGAGATGAGAACGTAGATGTTCAACATTTTGCGGGCAAGGATCTTATAGCAGACGCACTGACGAAGGTGCTCCAAAGAGTGCGTCTCGGGGAAATGAGACAAAGGATGCAACTAGTATGAAATCGCGGTGAGCAGCAGGGCTCGAAGAAGTCATAGGCTGTCGTGACATCGCATCGCGGGAGTCACTCAGGTGTGAGTGGCGAAGCTTTTCCATTTATAAGACGCCGAAGGAATAGTCCAGCGTCGATGAGATCACGGGCATCGGGGCAGTACAGATTCCAGCATTGAGCGCAGCGCGCACAGTGCCGGAAAGGAGGAGTGTTGGTAGGAACCCGAATGCCAGTGATGATCCCACATGCTCTTGAAACACATGTTGTGCTGAGCTGATTTCTTTTACCGCATCTAATTAAAGTCGTGAACCACTCTTTTTGAACCATTCGTCCTTAACACGCACACACTCATACACATGTTGCTGTGCGTGCATGTTCTGCTAGATTCTAGATGAGGCACTGGCCGGAAAAGAACAGATGCAGACCCCGAAAAAAGAAAAGGGGTTGAAAGTCCTACGGGGCAGGACTGTAAAGTGGTAGAGTGCAGTGTAGCCGTAGGAAACACGTTCACGCTTGCACGATCAGGACATATGCTTGTCTCAAAGGCCAAGCATGTCAGGAGCTTTTACACGGCGAAACAACGTGGCTCAAGTCTGAGAAAAGTCGTGAAGACGAGAGGGGTTTTGAGGGATAAATGATTGAAGGTTGAGGGGTGGAAAGGTGTGCAGATCGCGGAGTCGTTGTCCGATTGCGTGACATTTGCATTGACTTTATTCCTTGTCAGCCGAACTGAGCATTCAGAACTCCGTGGGGGAAGGACCGTGGCCCACAGGCCACGATCTTGTGATATTGTGGTTTAGTTTCTCCCATTCTTCTTGAACGACATCAGACGACGACGCGAGAGACGATGGATCAGACTCCTACGATAAATCTCTTGTCGCCGATTCCCAGTCACTATTCTGTAGTGTCAGATGGCAGTCCTCAGGCTGCAATCAACAATCAGTCACATTGAGGACACCAATGCACTATGTCATCATGCGCTGGGTCCCATGAAAGGAAAAGGATCTGCGTGCTTTGCATGAATGTATGCACAAATATCGGTGGAGTGGTGTAGGGTTCAATGGTGTGATTGCGTCATCGTTAACCCAGGCCGCTCGTGCTGTACGTAGGCGGCAGCCCACCTCAAGAAAACCAGAGTTCAAACATTTTTGGGAACAGGAAACAAAATGTTCCAGATGTCGGGGTGGGGTTTTGCCTTGTGCCGTTGCTTTGAACGGGCCCAGGCAAAACCGAAGCAATCAGCAACAATTTTCATCGCAAGAATGTTGGGTTCGTCGATCACAAGCGTGGACAATCAACGAACCTCAATTAAACATGGGTTTTCTGTGATGCGGCCTTGGCGATGGCATGGCAAGCAAAAGTAGGCAGTAAGGCGTGTGGCATTTCCGTGAAGCCGTTTTGCCGGTCCGTGCTTAATGTTGAAAAATTTGAAAACAAGCACGGGATGTTACAACAAAAAATGCAACATGGTTTAGTTTCGGGAGACGCCTCCCAGAACTTTTCCGAGACGAGACGCGCTGTTTTTATCCAGTGTCTTGGCGACTGCCACGTGGAATCGGTCAGAACTCAGTCGCTCAATTTCGGTCCAGCAATCACGGTGTCGTTAAACCGTCAATCAATTGATCTGGATTGTACTTTGGATTCCCGGTTGAAGATGGAAGCGGCCACTTGGTGACTTGATGATGTTTCCCATCTCGGACGGTTGGTTCCGGTGTTTGACATTGGTCGTCCCGATCCGATGTTGTCATGTCATGCTTGTGTCGAATCCCCATTCATGAGATTCTCCAGAGCAGCCAAGGTGATACCTCGTCACGATGAGAGCGCTGCCAAGCAGGTGCGCACTTGTGTCATCACAATATTTACTCTGATAGTCGTTGACTGCATGCAGGGACCAATTTCATTCTGCCTTCCTTGTGGGCGCATTTGGAAGCTTCCAGATCCGCACAACGGGCCCGGGCCCATGCCTATCGCATGGATTTTCCTGCTTTCTTTTCATTTTGCATGCAGCAAACACTTTCTTGCTTGCATGCCGGCAAAGTCATAGAATCGACACTGTAGAGATTTCATGCCAACCCACACTAGGACGAATTCCAATGATGTGCAGCTTCGGAGGCTCTGTACGCACTGCGGGAGCCAGGTCGAGGTCCAGTCGCGGTTGGCAGCCTTTGTAGTCTTGCAGCTAGATAATGCTGATCAGGTGGTCGATCCCGAGGCGGAGAGAGGGAAGTCATTCGTGTGGTGATCACAGACATGCAGTTCGTCTCTAAGGGCCCGCAGTCGAGGGAACTCCAGCTCGTAAGGCGTAAGGCGTTAGTTGGATCGGTTTCACTTCCTGCCCTGCTGGACAGCCGAGTGAGAAACCATGAGAGACCTTTGGGGATGCGACGCTCAGCTAGGGTTGCAGGTTGACGATGCCATGACTTAGCTGTTGAGCGGGGGCTGTTGGGTTCCGAAACGCATGCCCTTTTCAAGGATTTGCAAACCTCTTGCACAGCTTCAGGATATTACAACACGTTAGATATTGCTCTGTTGTCACATGCTTCCGATGTCAAGTTTCCGATGCTTCTCTTGACGAGAGGCACATCCTGCATCTCAGTTGTTCAGTCCTGAGATCCGCATTTCCCCTCATGGTGTAAGGCTTCATGTGGAATTTTGCCGAGGCAATGGGCGACTCTTCTGTCTGCAAGGTGTGTCCGAAGTACCTTTAGATAAATTTAGCAAGAATCCGACTGTGCCTTCGGAACTTGGCTGTCGAGAGGCTCCGGATCCTCTCGCAGGCTTCGTGGAAGGCTGGTTTCGCTAGAACTCAGCCCCCTTGCACCTCCACAAGTTCAACGTAATCCCATGCTCAGAGCCTCCAACGGGTGACAAGTCGCAGAACCGGCTGCAGGTCCGCGGCATCGCTGAGCACACTTGTCCCCCTGACATCAGGCAGGAACTTGTCCATTACAAATGACCCTCCGCACATTCATAATGCATTTTGCACTTTTCGATCGCCGCTGGTCTTAAGAAGTGATTAGATCCTCGTTTTGCTCCTGTACGAAAGATCTCAATGCTCCTGAGCAGCACACGAACTCATCCAATGACGAGTTTTGAAGGCTCATCCGCGAATAAGTTCCTTTGTCAGACGTTCATGCCACATCCCTTCAACATAACAAAAAATCAGCACAGACAGACCCTTCCAGTGCTGGCAAGACGTAGAGATTCAGATGAGATTCAGAAGAATGCTCTAGATGGTGCTGGTGGTAGTACTGCTGCGATGGATTGCAGGGTCGAAGCAAGGGCCTGAGATGCCGTAGCATGGCATTTTCGACTTTGTGACTTTGTTGGACCATGTCGAGGGTGGAAGCTTGGCAGCGGCCCGGGTCCCTGGCAAAGCGCCAACAAGCTGCACATTTCTGCGAATGTCTGCAGGCACGCGCTCTCAAAACGTCGGTGCCGGAGGCGAGGTACTGTTCGGGTTTCCAAATACAGCAGTGAACTTGGCGCCAAAGGTCAAGAAGCTGACCGGCGGCGACGTTGAAGGTCATGATTGGCTCACCTCGCCGATTATCCACAGAATCTTGTGCCATTTCTTTTGACAGGGTACTAGTGACTAGTGCCAGGTGGGAGAAACATGAAGAACTACTAGAAGCTGCACGAAAGGAGCTAGGACAGGACGATGCGCATGTCATATGAAGTCGGATTCAGGGCTTACAAGGCTTACGCGTAGCTGCCGACCCCGCGGAGAGAGGGTTTTTTGAGTTTAGGATCCTGTGCTGGACATGCTGGAATAACCCGCTTCTTTTGCAGAATATCAACCTGGGGGATGAGGGCGCCAAGGGGAGGAGGGGAAACGGGAAGGTGTTGAACCTGTTGAACCGGACGCAAGCGAACAACAACGTGAACTCAAGGAACATCGCTACAGATTCTGAGGAACCCAGGCTTGCGACTGCGCGAATGATCACAAAGGATCTCTCCACGATGGTCTGTCAGACATGTTTGTGCTGGCTTGTGATCCAGCCTTTGATCAAGCATCCGCTTTTATTCTGCGTCGTCATGGTGCATTCCACTTAGGAGGTGGGCAGGCTGGCGGTCAAGGCAACTCGAAGCTAAGCGAATGGCCAGCAAGCACACCTAGACCAGCATCAAGAATGGCTGAAGGATTTTGCTATTCACAGCAGCAGCAGCAGCAGCAGCAGCAGTGGATGGCTAAAACATGCGCTTCTTCCAGCCTTAATCAGCCTGCGGCCACCTCGCCAGTTCCTCCATACTCCCGTAAGGATGATGTTCTCTCCGGGTTTTTGCTGTCCTCAATAAACTGCACCTTTCTCGTGCGCCATGAAGCACTGCGAGGCAAAGACCCCACATTAAGGAAAGCCTGCAGACTTGCCCTGGGCTTCCTGCAAATTCCCTGAATCTGAGTTGCAAGGACCGCTTCACGAGGCGAGATGCGAGAGAGTGACAGAGGGGCGGTCTGTGGCCATGCTGGGCTCTGGGTGCTCTGGTCAGGATGCATATCACCTGAGTCACCTGTCCCCGCTGTCCTCGTCTCGAGGCTCCGAGTTAGCATCGCCCTCAGAGGAGATGGGCCCTTCCCCTTCCGACCCGACCGCTCTGACCGCCTCATTCAGCGCTGATCTCCGCACAGGAAAGAGCTTCGTGTCTTCTTCCAGCCTTGCGGCAGGCGAATAGGGGCGGATGTGAGAGCCTTTGGCACAAGGATAGGTCCTTAGGTGCATGGCATTTCGCCGACGAAGGCGCTGGCTGATGCTTCTCCTGCAGCACTACGCTCGCAACTGGTCGAGGCATTGGAGCTTCGCACAAACGGTCTTTAAGGAAGCTCCATTCACTCGCTTGCCAGGTTTGCAGAGATGCAGCAGGCTACGCGGTGTACAGGTGCATCATCTGTACAACGGATTCAGAGCATGAGTGATTCGGTCTATCACTGTTTAACGACCTGCAAGCCGAAAGGTAAACACAAGTGAGCGAGCGAGTGAGGGAGCTATAGAGCGCGGGAGTGCCTGAGAGTGCGCGGATTTCGGAAGCTGTTCGCAATTTTCTACACACTCCATCAACCCCCACAGCTCGTCCGTCCTCGTGGCTTCGGTGAGGTGGATTGTCAAGCCACGCGTGAATGCAAGACTCTGCCGGCTTCGGCTCTCGGGTTTTAGCAACCCTTCACAGTTGTCCTCGGTGTCTTCAGCTTTCCGTGGATTTGAAGACAATAGGTCGACACGGCAGCGGCGCTGGGTCCGGGAGGGCGGTTGGGGTGGTACCCGTGTCCCGCAAAATTAATCGCTGTCGGGGTTTATGGTCGATGCTGTGACTCGTTTCTCTGCTATCTCTAGGTTCTGCCTGATACAGTACCCTGAGCGTGGCATTGCCGCAGAGACTGCACAGTTTACACATCTCCTTCGTTTTCAGAACTGGCGCGTGTGATGGGGAGCATGCTGCGCACGCCACCTTGTTGTTGACGTCGCAACCTACGAAACAGTTTAGATATCGGTTTCCCATTCCCATCGAGCATGGGATGTTTGAGTGATCTGATCTATGCAATGGGGCCAGTGCGAAGGGAGCGACGAGTGCAGTACTCCGGTGGAAAGGCACCGACGGACACAGCACAGGGAGCAGGGTGACCAGATCGACTTGCCGTAGTGCTTATTCCACATACCTGAAGGCGAAGGGCGCGAACGGACAGGCCATACTGACAGAGGCACCACGCTCACCGATGGATAGGCCACGGCGTCGCAACGTTGCTTTGGAGGAGGGTGAAAATCATGTAAAACAACAGGGAGGCAGCAAACAGCACTGCAAAAACTACCTGCAGCAAAACCCGATCCGCAGCATGGTTCACCTTGCGTAGGATCCTTTTAGCTACCGTCTTAGTTGCTTCCATTTGTTATACTGTTGCGTTCTTTTGTGCCGTGCTTCTCTCAGCGGAGCGAGCCTTTCCCACGTGGAACGCCTGTAACCAGATGGGGTCACTGAGCGAGCCAGGGGCTCTTGTGGTTCCACACCCCTAGCATGCAAATAAGTGCGGCCCAAACTGGTTGCGCTGGAGCGCAGAGGAGGGAGGTGACCTTCTCCTGATGCCCTCAGAAGGAAAGAAAGACAGAGAGTCCATGCGAGGATTGTGGTATGTTGTGGCTAGGTTTGATATCTTCGCCCCAGACTGGTGCGATCGAGTCCTTGCTGAGCTGGACCATCTGGAGGTGCAGCCCAGCCTCCGATGTAGCAGAGTGGCGGGGATGTAGCAGCAGGCTGGCATGTGAGGTTGAGCCAAGACGGCCCGGAAGTGGTGCAAGGCGAGTGGCATTCCTCTCCGTCGGCCGAATGGCATGAATCGCCAGCTTCTAAGCATGGCGCACCGCCCAGGGATCCCAGGGAATGCTCAGTCATACTAGTCATTAGTGCTTGCCTGAACTCCAACACCAAAGCCCTTGGTATGCTAGGCTATGGAGCCATTCTCTCGAACTTGGGATTTCAAGAAGGGCTGCTACAGCCGTTGATGAGGCGGTGGACTCCGTGCAGTAACGTTGACTGTTCTCAATGAGCGGCGAAGGCTTGTGGTGAAGCCACTGGCCCGAGAGCTGTCAGCCCTTGAGCTGTCCTGGAAATTCTTTGTTGGCGCGAAACGAGTTGGGCTCCACAGTACCTTTTGCTTCACCGGCTGAGGTGGCCTGAATGGGTAGATCCAAAGGATTGCAATGAAACCTACGGTTTCGTGGTGCGATACAGGACTGCTTCAAAATCACACAGTCCTATGTCACACCTGGTGCTGTTTGTCAGTTCATGCTCGCAGGATTGGCGAGGATGTGGAGCTTGCCGAGCACGCAGACACTTCGAACGTCACTTTGAACGTGTGTCCGCTGGCTAGCTACAGCTTCGGCTGACATGCGTACAGACGTGCATCTTTTTGTTGAGCTCCACGGCATGTTTGTTTTGCCTCAGATTTCAATACTCTCCAAGTTGACTTTCGTTTACACTGCGATCGGAGTGCAGGATTCGTGTTGTTTCGGTGTGCAGCCTGTTAGCTTTGCAAGATCTTGCCAGAAGATTAGAGGGAGCCCGGCAGTGTACGTGGGTATATTCGGCTTTTTGGTGTGAGGGTCGAAGGCTTTGCCCGGAAGGTGTAGATCACAGCCTGTGCGCCGACACTCTGAGGTTGATATCTTTGGTCTGTTTGGGGTCCAGGGCGTTGAAGACGAGAAAGGGGTTAGCTAGATAAGCCACGAGTACTAACAGGGTCTTTCAATGCGTTTCAGCCTTTCATGAGTCAGAACATCTCATGCCTTACTGAGCTTACATCGTCGGGGATCTGAGGCTTGGGAAAGGAGTTCAGTGGAGGCGAGCTCTATTTCAAAGGTGCGCCGTGGAAAGTCAAGCTCGATAGAGGAAGCATTGAGCCCATGACTCGTGAGCAGGAGTGCGCTTCACACCGTCTCAGGATGATATTCAGGACGCTGTTTCTCAGCAGGGCTTAAAACCGCTTATGGCCTTGCGACTGGCACGTGGCTGTGACATATCCACACGAACTCAATTGTGAAATTGTGAAGGAGCTCTCGGTCTTCCACAGTCGCGGGTCTGACCGAGCCCAAGTGGGAACCCGCTTGACTGCCTGGACGATCATAATCCGTGTCTCCAGGCTCTGATACATTTGGGTGGGCATTACCACGGCTCGCTCCTTGGCCCTTGCTGCCTGCAGCATTCGCCTAGCATTGTTCGCCTGCGCAGTGAAAGACACAGCCAGAGATCAGGCTACAGATGCAAGGGCGGTAAATACTCAAGCCAGATTCAAGTTGTCACGTTGCTGGTGGTGAAGGCAACATGCTTGCCATACCTTCGGGCCCGAGTGACTTGCATTTTTTCGCACTGCTGTCAACATGTGCATAAAATCGGCTTTCTTCAGAGGGATGTGATCAACAGTTGAGGCTTCGTTCGGGGCAGTCGGGCGAGATTTCGCGTCATACAGGATGTGGTTTCCCGATGGTGATGCATCAACGAGCTCTGGTTCGTAGCATCTCGACTGATGGCATCCGATGTCGTCAGAGGTGCCTAGCTTCTAGTTTTCAGAGTGCCGAGCATCGGCAGGGCCCCTAAACCAATCTGAGTGAAAGCTGGCCTCGCTCCTGAAATCGTTATATGCTGTCCTGGCTCGGCGGACAAGTCGGCACGAGCCTGTCGGCTTTCGCCTCACCTCATCAAGCCGACATCTCATCTAACGTCTGAGGCGCAAGGCCGATCACGAGCGGAGAGCGCTCAGAGCTCAGGCGCATGCTTCCAGCACTCACTGGGGCGCAGCCGTTTCCGGATTTGCAGGATTTTCCAACCAACATGTCTTTGATAAGGTAGCAACCTCATCCTCTGGGGAACTGGAGATGGTGGGCAGGCAGGGGGCCGTCCCGGGCGGCTTGACTTTAGTTCAGATGTGTGACGAGGTCCGGATTCGACCAGCGACGCCAAAGAGTCAAGCTATGCTGTGAAAACAAGCGAGATCTGCCGTGTGTGTCGTAGGCAAATGCAACAGTGGCCCTAATTAGATGATGCCTTCGTTGCCCGGTTGATGTTATGAGCTTGGTGTCGGAAATGCGGCTGCCTTCAGGCACTTCCCGAACAACTCTCTCGTTCAAAGCTTGCGAGCATCGAAGGCAGTCTCTTGTGTTGTCGCTGGCACATCGATTAAGGTCGAAGAGCTGCTAGAGACACTAGTGGGCTGTGGAAGCATGCCACGCAGGCTCGTACATATGCTGCTAACAAGATGACATCGAAGGCACGCATTCCCAAGCCACAAATTGCAAAGTGTCACCGGTGAACCTCGTCAGATCTGCAGTGCTGATAGACGGCCGCGTGCTGCTTCTTGGTCCGGTCCTTTCCCACAGGACATGCCCCGGCACGTTAACTGTTGCTCAGAGCCTTTCACCCGAACTAGGTGCGGGCAGCGTCTTTCTGCAAGGACCGCTCCGTAGTGTGCAAAGCCACGGCGACTCGCGACTCGAATGTCTTCAGGACGGTTGTGCCAGCTCAAGAGTGAAAGCTCCGGCCATGGGCCTTGACCGCTCCGTCTCTCTCATCGTTTCATCTGCAGCGGATGGCGGATAAGGCAGTCCTTATGCAATGGCCAAGCTGACGCAGCCCGCGGCCAATTAAGCCATACCCAGCACCTGCATGCTGAACCCTTTGCTGATTGGTATCACTTGGTAGAGGGTGCTGTCTAACAAGCACAGACCTTAATTCGAGCCTTAGAGCTTGTATAGTCATTGTGAGCCGAGCTTGCGTCCTGCAAGCTTTCTCCTCGCAACTCGGACCCAGGGCATGAAGATGTGAGCAAGTTCGCAGCAATTCGCCGCACTTAAGCATCCTGTCGAAAAGCTCATTGTTTGACCGAGCCCACGCCGTGGCGAGGGTCACTGCTAAATTCAAGAGATGCGCAAGTTCACGTGAGATTGTGTCGTGAGTCTTTCTCGACGTCTCAAGAATTGCCGGATGTTTAAGCCAGGATGTCGCCAGTCACTAGGAGCAGGCTCCTGCAGTTTACGTTCGCACGTGCACTTTCGGAATTAGATTAGATCTGGAGGTGCGACAAGCTTCTCCAATAGGCCTTGCACGCTGCCCTAGGGCAATTCGTCTTTCCATATCCTCTTGGCAATGCCACGCGGACTTTGGATCTAGAATTTTATAGGACTAGCTTGCCTTGCTAGTTTATCTGAGCCTGCTGCCTTGCTGAACTTCCAGGGGCTGTTGCGAAGCAGCACAAGCAGCACAAGCAGGTCGGCTACTCGCGTCAACAGCACACGGCCACAACAAGCGCCTGTCATGATGGAATGCTGCAGAGGAGTTGCACTGCGGATATGATAAGCCGCTGCGAGTCACGTTTATGCTTCGCAGTTGGCTGTGTAGCGCGGGTGCGGGCATCTCGGCTTAACGCGACCAGACTCAAGGCAATAATTCAACAACGTGTACCGTCGCAAAGCTGCAACAACAACAGACGGCAACAGGTAAGACACGCGCTTGCCACCTCGTAAATAACGCTCTGCAGTGCATGTACATTTCTCACCAGCATGGGGATTCCCTCCAACTCCAACAGCTGTCGCTGTTTGTGAGAACATGGCCAAAGACAAGGGTCAGGAGGCATCGACGGCACATACTCTTGCTCATGTCCGTTTTGATTCTTTCGATGCTCAAGGCCGCGTTTCTTACCCCTCTTGCCCTCACAGGGCCTTCCGGTGAACTTCGGCAAGTTTCTTGCGCATACAGACAAGCTTGTTTCTGAGTTGGTGCGGCCTCACTGCAAGGCTGTTGAGACTGCTGAAAAGCACCTGCCGAGGGTGGTGCGGGATCGTGGCTTCAAGAGATTGAAGCGCTGGCTTGTGAAACATCCAGAGTTGGAAAGGCCCTTTGTCAATACAGCAGTGCATTTAATCTTCCATGTCCTGATCCGAAGGCTGGAGTACATGAAAGTCTGGAAAGGGTTGTATTTCGCCGTATGGATGGCCGACAAAAGACCCGTGCAGCAGGACCGGTCGTGCAGTTCGGAGATTCGGTTTCGCCGGCCCAGACTTTGTGCATTTGTGTGTGTGTTCGTGTGACAGAACCTTCCTAGTTCATAGAAGCATGAGATCACTCCCACATGCTCATTCGCCATCATATTGTCCTGAAGCGGGACAGGGGGCAGCATGGGGAGCCCTATTCGGCGAAGCTCTCTCACCCTCCCCAAAACAACGTACCTGCATCAACGCTAGCCATCATTTCCAGTGCCCGAATTCATGGCCCTCACCCCTTACCGGTAAGTCTTCTTGTATGACACTCTTTATGCCTGGCGACCGTGGTACCAACAGTTCCGTTTCAATTTTCGTTACCGTCATCATCATCACCATCATTATCATCAACATCACGTCAAATACTTCATTGTCCAGCAGCTCACCAATCGGTTGCAGCGAAGTCCAAGGGTTTGATTTTGTCGTTCGGGAGCAAGCAACACCTTGGCAGGGAGTTGTTTGTCATTTTCACTGCTATTGCCACGAAATATTACGCATAGAAATGCAGCTGTGGCTGCAATTGCTTTTGCAGCCGCTGCTTCGTCTGTTGTTGTTGTTGCTGCTGCTGTTGCTGTTGCTGTTGCTCTTGCTGCTGCTACTGCTGCTTGTGCTGTTGCGTTTGCCGTGGCGGTTGCAGTTGTTGCGGTTGTTGTTGCCATTATTGTATACGCCCGCATGCATGGAGCCTGCTCGAGCTGCGTTCAATTGCAAACAATTGTTGTGCCCGTGTGTGGATCGCGCCAAACTTGCACCCTGCGTGCCTCCGAGGACTCTGCGTGCGCTGTTGTTCGCACAAAACCGGCTAGAATAATGAAAAAGACTGGGCAGCGGCATATCGAGCGGATTGGCCGTGCGCCGGAGGCTGAAAAAGAAGTCTGGCCGATTGACCCTCGGCATGGCACTTGCCAACGGCGTGCGTCGTCCGATTCGACGCCTCGACGTGGCCTAACCCGACGAGCGGGACTACTAAGCAAGCAACAGCATGCCCAACCTTACCCGACGTACGGGACTCGTAGGCTACTAGGCTGTGATTACTGGGCTGAGTTGCACACAAAAACCTTGCCCGACCAACGGGACTACTGGGACTAGGCTGATTCATCGCCTTGCCGTTAGGCTCCTTGCAACACTGCAGCCCAATCGAAAGCTGCGTCCAACAAAAACTGTGGATGTGGTTGTTGTTGTTGTGGTTGTTGTGGTTATGGTTGTTGTTGCGGTTATTGAGGCTATTGTGGTTTTTGCATTGGTTGTGGTGGTTGTTGTGGTTGTGATTGTTGTTGTGGTTGTGATTGTTGTTGTGGTTGTTCTTGCTGTGGTTGTTGTTGTTGTTGTTGTGGTTGTGGCTGTTCTTGCTGTGGTTGTTGTTGCGGTTGCTGTTAGTTGGTGGCGTGATTGTGGTTGTGGTTGTTGTTGGTGTTGTTGCTGCCACTGTTGCTGTTGTTGTTCCTGTTGCTGTTCTGTCGTTGTTGCTGTGGTTGTCGGCTGTGGTCGCAGTCCTTGTTGCTGTTGGTGTTTGTGTTGTTGCTCTTTTGTTGCTTTTTATGTCCTTGTTGTTTCTCGTCGTTCTTCCTCTGCTAGTTGTGGATGTGGGGACCTGGTTGTGCTTGTTCGTATTTGTTAAATATGATTACCAACTGGTTACTGTGAAACATGTACGCTGCTGTAGGTAATCAAAACTAGTACCTCATAAGAGGCAGAGCTTGACCAAGAGAACAACCCACGGACCAAATTCGGACGGACATGAGACTGCTTTGCGCGCGGAAGGGGTAAACCAAGTGTATGGGGGTGTAAGCCTTAAGCCCCTACAGCCCTCGCAAGCGGTCTGACAAGAGAGGTAGAGGGCTGCGTTGAGCAAGAGAAGCATGGAAAGAGTGGACAAGCGAAGCTTCCGAAGGGCAGGAGCAAGCGTTTCTTCAACCGCCGGAATACAGGTTGTCCCAGATCTGGCCCTGGGCCATGCCGGGGAGATCCGATCTGAAGGGAAATGCCGAGGTGGCGATCACTTTGCGGGAGAACACAAAAAACCGCTGACCGGCAAAAGCATCCTCTGTCAACACAGCCTTGATAATCCCCAGGCCTTTTCGCCTGTGTTTCAGACTGTGCCGGGCGACGCAGATTTGATATGATTTGATAATGCTTTCGGGTCTCGGCATTCAGGACGATACTGATACTGAGCTCGCCCACCCCTCGGGATCGGTGGGGGAAATGCGCTGAAGACAAGGTGCAGTACTTGATCCAAACTGGCTGCTCGTTCTTGGTCTCTGCTTTCTCATTCTCGTTCGGTTGCCGCCCGTCACCAGGCCCGATAAGCCTGGCTTTGTCTTTCTTAGTACTCTCGTCGACTTTTTCTGTGTTCTTGTGAGCACACTGCATGATCATGAAATTTCCGTCGTTTTCAACGCCCTGATCCCCCCCCTCTTCCATCTCGACATCTAACGGCGGTCTAGAGTCTAGAGTCTAGACAGAGAGTGGAGGGCATGTCTGCGCCACGCAGGTTTCTGAACAAGACGGTCCTGCGACATTTATCCTAGTTTGCTTTTGATCCGGGGAGGCATCCTACTTTGAAGTTTGGTCTACAGTAGCCTTTGACTGCCGAGCTAGAGATTTGGGGGAAAAATGATCTTGAGTAGCACGCATATTTCGGAGTAGAGGATCAAGCCTCAACGGCCAGTTTTGTGCTTCAACTCCAATTGCAAGACAGCACGAACGCGCCCATTATAAGTTCAGGTCCTCGGAAGCCCGATGGAATCACCGGCTGCTACAGGTTCTGTTCCCATCAAAACGGAACCCGGCAGGGTGTTTGACCGCTCTGGGATTCAGTTTTTTCATACTACACAAATATGTGCAAGGTGTCGCAGCGGTTTTTAAATTAGAATGGGTTCCGTTTTCAGTGGAGAACCCCGGCAGATAGCAGTGGTGGTAACAAGGCTAAGCCACGCTGAGAAAGCACTGTGGCTTAGTTCACAAGGCGAGGGAAGCGTGCGTAAGTGTGCCATTTGCAAGGATAGCAGTATATAGCAGTCATCTTGCGAAGATTGGGATGAGTATGCATGAGCAGGACAGATTGAGTTACGAGCTGGTGAGTGCTCCGCAGGAACTTGCGGTGAACATCGCCTTGCTTCTAAACGATGTGCCTCAAGAGAAGCCGGAGCCCCACAGCTGCAGCTTCCAGATTTGCTGTGTCATACCGACATAGGCGAACTCTCTGGATTGACACGTTCTGGGAGACGATGAAAGCCTGGGCCTCAAGCCGGGTGCTGCGACTCGTCTTCTCGCCGCAGCCTCCTGCACTTCCTCTTTCCGAAATCGTGCCTTTACCACATATCACTTTGCTTGGCAGTCCACCTTAGTCGTGTTCCTGCCGCAGTGCTACGGGGTTGTGGTGCATTTTGGACTCACGGGGCCGGGGCTTCTGGAGTTCTGGGGCTTGGGCGTGCTTGGATGCTCTTTCATTTTTTTGGGGGCCTACTGTTCGCCAGCCTCATTCGATGAGGTTTACTGGGGTGCGCTGGCCGGCAATTTTTTTGGATTTTTAATTTTTCATTTTGCCTGCATCGTGTTGCCGGGTGACAGTGATACTTATGTGGTGGAGTTGTTTTTTGCGAGAGGATTGTTGGCGACTTTCTTGTTCCAGGTCTCCTGGGAGAAGCTGGATGTCCACCGGGTCGAAACCCCAGGTAGGTCAATTTCAAATCTCAGCATTCTGCATGTTAAGCCAGACTTGGCCGATGCTCGTGATGGTTGGTCCAAGGTTCTGCGCATATGCCCTCGATGACATGCCTTTGCATGATCCCCCATGCTCGTGCTAGTCGTGCTGGTTGCGAGGATGATATGGGCATGGTAAGAGCACTGTTCTAGCAAGGTACAAGTAGTTTTGACATGTTTTGATAATGGATGACCGGCTATGGATGCACTGTCTCCGCCACCATTAGACCGTACGCCTTCCGCGCACAGCAGGTGCGACTGACCTTTTGTTGGCCAATCAATCAATACCTTGCCGCTTTCCAGAGGTTTTGCTTTGTTTCTACCACTTTCGAAGACGAGCGCCCGTAGCAGAACTCTGATGTGTCGTGGGAGACGCTATGGCTTGACCCTTGAGCCTAGGGCCTAGGACAGAAAACTCGAAGTGATGGCGCCGGTAGGTACACAACAGCAGCAGCCTGGTGTTTTGAGCGGCACTTCGAAGGACGTGGCCTCAGTGCTGAGTGCAAACGTATTCTGCAATGACTCTGGCACGGCTTGTTGAACGGCACTTCTTGGTCCTTCAAGTCTTAAGATTTTAAGATGCCTCAAGGTCAAGAGCTTCGACCGCCTGTCCGCGTCGTTGTTTTCGATTGTAGGGGCCCCAGCTCTCAGCTGCCCCAAAAGAATTCAAGAAAGTCACCTGGCTTCGTGGCTTACCTGGGCCGGGGGTTAAAAGCGTTGCATCAGCCCAGAGGTGATGAGACGCTCACGTTGTCCACCTTTCTTCCCGACGATGCTGCACTGCGAACACAGTTGGACTGGACATCGCCGTGGGCCACAACTACGATTGATACACAAGTATATCCCAACTGTGTAGTTTATTCATTCTCGATACCGCTGACGGTCATGTCAAGGTGGGAGGAGTACATTGCCACGGTGAACTTCGAATCTCCTTTTGCGACTTCTGGCTACTCGGTATGTGATCGGCCTTATGACCTTCACTCCTTTCCACTTCGTTGGATGGTTTTGCAAGAGCTCTCTCTGAGGCCGACTGGCCCTGCTTCGGGAGATGCTCGAAGACTTGCGGAGAGGTCAGACTAGTGTCACGAAAGGGCTGGAAGCTGCGTCTTCTAAAGCAACTGAATCGAAGTCTCGGAAGGAACGCACAAGCTGCCTGGTCGATTGCTGGCGGTGTTGACCCGAAACACCAATGGACCAGTTGCGTGCTTGAACCTCTTGAGGCCGGGCCTTGTGCTAGCCGCATCTTCAAAACCCATGCCTGCCGAATAGTTCCTTGAGCATTGACGCGAGTGTGTCTATGGAGCCCAGCCCTGCCCGGCCTGTGCCGCCGCTCTGTCAGGGCCGCCAAGCTCGCCGATCTGTTCGATGCGGTTTGGTGCATGTCCCATGTGCCTGGCATTCCCGCGGGTTTATATCGTGCAGGGACAGAAGCTTGCACGCCTGGGAGAGCACGTGAGACTGAGATGCTTGATAATGACCTCTAGACAAAATCCACACGAAACTTTGACTCCAGAGACATCTCGTGATTTGCATGGCAAGCAAGGACTGGGTAGCATTCGAGCCACCGCTTGCTTCACTCCCGGATCACAAGGTGGGCATATTGAAGACGTCTGTGCTCATTACCGTAGCTTCAATTCAACATGCTTCCAACTTTGCTAAGATGTCTTGCATGTCTTGCTTCTGGATGTGAAAGTCTAATCCTGTGAAGAGTCCAGGCGCACGTGATACACAACATCGCGGAGCAGCCATCAGCTTGGTTCCCACAGAAGACGGATGGCTCTCTGATGTCGATGCTCCCGGATCCATTGAGGACCCGACAGTAACCAACGGCTGTGATCAGTAGTCTGCTAAGGAGGCTGGGGAATGGGTCTTTTGGCAGAGCCAGGCCGCAGGAGATTATGCTGGTCGATGATGTGCGCACCAACTTCCAATGTGGGGGCAGCGATCCGAAGAAGGTGTATCGCTGCTGCAAGGTTGCACGCGACCTGGCTGCCTAAGGAACTCGTGTGTGTTGGATCGGATTTTGGAACTGCGCAGTGCAGAACTGGTGGCTTGCTTTGTCCAGGCTATGATGCGCCAAACTTTCGAGATATGGGGCTCGTTCGAGACATGGGTGGCATCGGGGCGCACAACGAGGCAAGCCAATTGCGGTTACGATGTGTCAGAGTTCAAATCATCATAGACACCTGTGACTGAGGTGTACGTGGGGATTTTATGTTCTGGTTTATTGTTGCCACAGGTGGCTAAGGCTTTCGTGGATTCATGGAACGGTCCCGCCTTTTGCCGCTCCAGGAAGACTACAAGACCGTGGTAGATTTTGCAAAGCGGCCTTGGGCATACAAAGTTGACTGGCGCGTGCATTGCATTGAGAAGCCGTTCGATGGTGCCGCGCTGCAGCCGCCGGTGCAATTAGTCATCTTCGATTTCGACGGCGCGCTGACCTTGTACACCTTCATGCCGGAGGATACTGGAGAGAACAGCCCATTCGCTTCTTGCTGATGCTTTGCAAGTCAACAGCTGAAGGGGCTCAGTCTTTGTTAGGCAAATGCTTTCATTGGCCAGCAGGTGCCAACAACAAGCTTCTTCTGAGCAGAACTGGAAGTCACCCGAGATCACCTTGCAGCACTTTCCACATCATAAGTACTTGTAGTGGTCGTCTTAGCAATCGTGGAAGCAGGATATATATATATATATGTATATATATATATATATATTATTTAAATACGAGTAGTAGTAACAGAAGTAGTAGTAGTAGTAGCAGCAGGAGGAGGAGGAGTAGGAGGAGGAGTAGGAGTAGGAGTAGGAGTAGGAGTAGGAGTAGGAGTAGGAGTAGGAGTAGGGGTAGGAGTAGGAGTAGGAGTAGGAGTAGGAGTAGTAGTTATAGTAGGAGTAGGAGTAGGAGTAGGAGTAGGAGTAGGAGTAGTAGTAGTAGTAGTAGTAGTAGTAGTAGTAGTAGTAGTAGTAGTAGTTCTAGTTTAGTAGTCGTGGTAGTCGTGGTGGTAGTGGTGGTGGTAGTGGTGGGACGGTGGTGGTGGTGGTGGTGGTGGTGGTGGTGGTGGTGGTCGTGGTGGTGGTGGTGAGCAGCAGGAGGGGGAGCAGGACCGCCCACCTCACGTCCCAGACCCAGATCTGGAAGTGTGCCCAGCATAGCAGTATGTAACAGAACCTGTAGTAGAAGTCGATAGCGAGCCAGAGATTGGTGGCCCCCGGCCTGAAAGAGCATCGCTGATGGCTGAGAAGGCTGGAAACCGATTTTGCGTTGAAGGCTGCCTGCCCGAAGCTCTCTTGTTGAACCTCTCCCAGGATCCACGATGCAGCACAGAAATGGGCTATGCTCCTGAATCTGTGAAGCGGCGGTATGTCCCATGGCTGCCCTTGTTGAGTCGGCCAGTCTTCGGGGGCATATTAGTGTGCTTGTTCAAAGTCGCGAAATTCTTGCATCTGATTGGTTTCCATGGGTTTCCCAGGTAGAGTACAACTTCGAATCGCCGTATTTGGAAGGGAGCAGAGTGCAGCAGCTTCAGAACCTTCTGGAATCGTTGCAAAGTGATCCGGAGACGGGGGAGAGGCAGGCCTGCGGCGATTCTGCTTTGCAATGGCGTACCCCCAGGGTGTTAGTTAGCACAGGCGTGTTCTCGCGATTCTCACTATCAATGAGGCCAGACTGATGCATCGGGGTTCTGCATGACACGAGTGAGCTGATGAATGACACTTCGGTCGTGAGGCTGGGGCAATCGCCGTACTGAATATTCTCATGATGGCAGACCTGGCGAAGCATTTCAGTGCAGTGTGGACTCTATCAGCTCGCATCGGGCAGCCTGGTGGTGTGTATAGGACCGGCAATGCATGGAGAACGTTGCTCAGATTGCTACAGTAAGCCTTGAGTCTTCTGGGCTGGTCTCTCTCTCTCTCTCTCTCTCTCACTCTCTCTCTCTCTCTATATATATACACACACACATTTTTGCTTTTTGGGTATAGTTTGCCAAACGAAGTCGTGCCAGCGCTGTGAATGTCAATTCACGTTGGCGGTCTCAACTGCATGCGTCACCGCCGAGACTTGTGCCACGATTGGTCGTGTTGCATGAGCTTGGGCTTGCAAGGCCTATAGTTTCCACTACAGCTTAAAGCCTAGTTCAAGCTGGCAAGCAGTGTGCTCCTGCCGGAGTTCAGGTTCAACCAAGATTATGTAACTCGCTCTTGGTCGGCGATCGGTGGCAGCATATTGCACTTTGAAGCACCTGCATCAGTAGTCTTGAAAGTCTCGCCACGTGAACGGGATTGAGCGTTTCACGATGCTTCACCACATGTTAAGCTCCTTCCATTCTGGCTGTGTTATCCCTCTCCCCAGACAGCCCGCGGCCAAGCAGAGAACTAGGCAAGAGCCAACAATAACAGTCCGCAGGAAGGGGAAGTAAGCGGCATGGCACGCAATGGGTGGACATGTGGATGGCTGGAGCGGCACGAAAAAGATGCTGATCAGGCGAGCAATGGTTAGCAGGTATGCGGCAGGATGCACCGGGCTGGGGACCTAGAGACCTGCGCATGCGAAAATGTAAGCGCCGATAAGGGCCGCCTTGCCACCACTGGCAGCACCAGGACGGCATGCCGCCTATGCATTTGCAACAGAGCCCAAGACGGGCCCCTATGTGCAATCAACGCTATACCGTTATGCACACCATTATCCACGCCAGTCCGAAGCAGTGGGCCTGTGAGCATCAAAGTCACCGCTGGAGCATTGGCCAATTGGAGCACGGAAGGTTCCAGCAAAATGCCGCCACATTGCAAAGCTACCAAGAGTTACCACGTTTTGAGGTTCACGCTGCCGGTCAGGGAGGCAGACGGACGACACAAGTCTTCGGTCTCTGGGCCGAAATCTGTTGCACACAGCGCAGAATTGGATTGTGTACTCTTTCAGCTTGTATCCTTCCCTTCCCGCTCAAGTAACACAGTAGGCACCGTTGTGCTTACGTATTCGGCATTAACTTTTGCAGTCGTCTGGTGCCTTTGCAAGGTGCTGCAGAGTCTTCTTTCGTGTCCGTCCGGATGGTTCCCTCAGATCTCGGGAGGCCAGTGCGACTATGGTCCTATGGTGCTGCAGGTTGTAGTTGTTGCACTGGATCAACCATGGTCTCCTATCCAAGTCTTGCCAGGATCCGGGGAAGAAGCAATAGAAGAAAAGCTTTTGTCTGGACTGAGCCTGGAAAATATTGTCTGGGTCGATGATGCTCGTTCACCTTCGCTGTTATTGGAAGACGACGAGGAGTACGAAGCACTGCGGCACTGTGGCAAAGCGCAATTTAGCTTTTCGCATGAGAATCGCATGCATCGAGAGGCATACTGTTCTGTGCATACTGGTTGCCCACCACCCTGCAGGTTGCAGTGCACAGTTCTCAGGGCTGGGATTTGCAAGGTCGGGTTGCCAGCTACGATGACGAGTACCGTGATCAGGGCCTGCTTTGGCACATGGGAGGTCTTGGTGCACGAAGTGCCGAGGACTGACAGGGCATGGCATGGATTGCTGCTAGCTGCGTACGCAGCCCCCCGAAGGCTAGCGACGCATAGTTGCGGTGCAGTGACAGAAGCGAATCAGAGCCGTTCACGCTTCGCGATTTGATTAGAGCCGTTCACCTTTCGCCTGCCTCTCAAGCGTGGAAGTAGCCGAGCCCATTTGCAGCCATGGGCGTGTCGAAGGCGGGTTTCGGGATCTCGAATCACAAAGTGCAAGTTGCACATCCAGAGCCTTGTCCCCGAAAGCTATCTCGATAGCATGACGTTTGTAACGGAATGACAAAACAAGACATGGCAAGACAGATATCATTACAACGTCATGTAGTGTGTTGGTCATGGATCCAGACTCCAGGCCAGATATCGAATCAATGTCCGGGGGGCAATTTTCGAACGAGCAGCGCGGATATGCCCTCGGAAAATCTTGCGGGTCTCGTGCATGCTCCGGTCTTCGGCAGTTGAGTCCGAAGTGGACTTGCATTGTTGGCAGTTGGGTTTCTTTCGGGACGGCTTTGCAACAAGAAGCCAAACAAAACCGTTATCGTTTGACCCGGCAATGTCCCAGTCAGGGCCGTTTACTGTGGCACGAGGGGGCTTTCGCTTCTGGGATGGCAACATCCTTTTGTTTGTGTCGGCGTCGTACTTTTGGCCTAGCAAGACGTCTATTAGGAGACTGGAAACACGAAGTCGGATTGCAAACTTGAAGAAGCTGTGACAACCCTGGCATTTGCGCTTGGTACCCACTGTGAATGCTTCTGACACTTCGAGGTCTGAATCGAGCGAATGCACAAGCACCTAACATGTGCAGTTTCAGTTCTCGCCGACGACGTGTCCTGGTATCTTTGTCACAAGAAGCAATACGATTCAATGTGATTCAAGAGTTGTCCATGTCTTACGGCACACTTTCAATTTCTCCGCCAGAAAGCACGCGCACACACACACACACACACGCACTTCTTTGGGCAAGATGGGAGAACAGTGATAGGCATGATGGCGCTGATGATGACGATGATGACGACGATTCGGGTTCCGGTGCTGCCTTGCCTTTGTTTGCTGTTGGTATTCGAGGAAAGGTCTAGTGCGACGGCGAAATATACGTGAAACGGGGTGCCACAATCCCAACAGGAGGGTGACACAGTTACAGAGACATGCTACGCTGTAATAAGCATACAAAGGAACAATCAACCCTTAAAGTTGGAGTCTGGTAGGTGCTGGCGTGTGTGTTTGGGAGGAACACACGATTATTTCTCGAGTGGTATGTTATGTTCGAGAAGCTCTGATACCAAAGCATCGCTTTCCTCGGTCCGGCATCCAAAAGGAAGTTGAGTTTTGAAAGAGGCTCTTTGAGTCTCTTTGAGTCTTGGATCGTGCTCGGGTGTAGTCGAAGGCGACCCCAAGCAACCCTTCACGATTTTCCGCGAAGGCCGCAGAGGCTGCAAAGCCTCCACATGAGGCTGCGAGCTTAGCCATTCTGCAGCCGATCGCAGACTGCAGACCCCGTACATTCCGCTTGGCAGGCATGCTACTCTACCTCGTACCTCTGCTTGTTCGAGGCCTGAAAGAGAAGCCTAGCTGCAAATTTCGCTTCGCCGCTTGGCTTCCTGCACCAGGCCATAAGTCCGTATATGTGGTCATACATGGGCATCGCCATTGCGCTGGGAATTTCAGTTCTAGGCCACCAGCACGGTCTGAAGTCGACGGTTTTTCATGCGTGGCGAGCTTGTCGTTTTCACAGGTGCCGCATGGGGCATCTTCTTGACGGGGTCAAGCATCGTGGGCGCAGGCATAAAGGCGCCACGCATCAGTGCCTCATACGACAAAATGCTGTGCGAATTGGGTGGAAGGGGGACATACGATCGCAGATCGCCCTTGCGGAATGACATCTGAGGCTCTAAGAACCTGGTTAGCATCATTTTCTGTGAAGCCGTTGCTATCTACGGGGCAACTTGTCTGCAGGAGCGTCCCGTTGGACGGTTTTGACAGCAAACGGGTTAATCGAGCCCACCAAGGTCATCATTGCAATCATCATGGCCAACAAAATCGAGGGCTCTGAAATTTTTGACGTGCCATCCCAGCCCAAGGGTTGGCAGGCAACGGTGTCGCTTATGTGTAAAGCTCCTGCAGAACATTGCCGGCTTCTCGTGCCATGCGAGCTGAAGTGGTGATGCACAGGCGCAGACAATGGTGGCAGGCCCGATACCTAGATCGAGCTGGGAATGACAAGTCTCACACCATGCCCCTGCATTCTCGAACATTCGGCAGGCTGGTGCATGTTCTGCGTTGGCTTGTCCGTGGGCTTGTCGAACCTGTTCTGCTGCTTGGCCGCACTTTTCTTGTCCTTCTCGACGCTTGATAGACAATCATGGGCATGCATTGTTGTTTTTCTGGGACGTGTTGCGAGCATCTGCGAACGATGTAGTGTGAGGCGGTATCTGCGTTGGTGTGTCTGGAAGCGGGTGTGCTCTGGGCGATGCCCAGCGACCAGAGTTGTTTGCATCCACCTCAGGGAGGTGAGTGAGAGTGTCGGCAGTTTGCCACGCTTATCGAAGTGTCTTCGGTGTCAATGACTCCATCAGGTCAAGATGTTGATTGTCGAGATTTTTGGCAGTGCTTTGGGGCTTTTTGGTGTGATTGCGCGTGCCTCAGCTCGAAAGCAACTTCAAGTTAATTTTCCCTTGTGAAAAGATGCCTGTCCAGGTCGGTATTATTCAGGCTGGCAGTGTTGAACTTAGATGAGGCCAGATGCAGCATGTCTACATCTGCTGCAGGCAAATGGGGCGACGTTCCCGAAGCACCTATCGTGATGGGAAGAGAGGATGCCAGCCGGCATTCCAACCAAACACAGCCAAGCTGCCCGGTGGTTGACAATCTTCCGTACAGTGACCTTGGCAGGCTAACCACAGATACCCTGTGAACGCACAACAGGAAGGCAGCGACATGCTGCGGTTTCACTAGTTGGCAATACAAAATGAATCAAGTCATCAAGTCTCGGGAGAAACTAGTTAGTACTGTATCCTTGTGGTATACGTATAGATGGCCCCCATGCGCCGGCTTTCCCTTGGCAGGGCCTTATACTTCTGTGCAAGGTCATGGAACCAGTGGTACGAACAGTTTCTAGAGGAGGGCAGTCTTGTGCCGACCTCGTTTTGAGTTCCCATGTGCGCAGTGACCATATGCAGAGAAAAAGTCAAACCATGCTACAGACACACACATCGCAATCACGAGCTCGCGAGCTTCTCCATAGTAAATGAAGGGCCATAGTAAATGAATGGCCGGACAGGGCTGTCCTTCCAGGAACTGGACGCTTGCTCGGCCATGGGCCTTGAGTTTGATAAGCACTCTTACTTGGCGGGAGGCTGACACTGTCCTGGTTTTCCATGGGTAAGTGTGCCTGTCAGAGCGAGGACTACGGCACATTGCTGTCCTTCGTGCGAGCACCCTGGAATTTTGCCGGCCAGCATTTGACACAGATGCCGTCGCGACCGAGCTTTGGCTTCGGGGTGCGGAATCCCAGACAGAGAGATTCGCATCGTCAACAGATGCTCTGTGCGTAATGACTGATGGCTCCGACCCTCAGGCGATGGACACGCCGCGGGAGGACAACCCGATTCCCCTGCAGCGCTCTAAGACCGAGCAGGACACCGTTACAAATCGTTGCTTCAGCCGTCAGGAAGTGCAGTGCCTTTGTCACAGTGTTACTTTTGAGATTGGATTCTTGTAAAAAAGGGCATCTCTGCGAGAACGACTAGCTTTGGGCACATCCTGGGAGCAGCGTTCCCACGTTGCCCTTACGACCCGCTGGCAGGATCTGGCACAGCGAGTGCCATGCAAAAAAAGAGAGGCGGATGCAGCAGGATTGAGTGATGGGTGTGATGGGGTGGCTGATGTCATCGCGAAATCATCCACCATAGTCTAGTCTGCAGAAGCAGCAGCTTTTGTGCTTGATGTAGGCAGTATTTGCCAAAGACTCTGCAAATCACTGCAGTTGTTTTGATTGCGTTTGACCGTTCCGGTATGTACAGATCCGAAGGCATGGCAGACCCTCTGCAACGGATGTAGATACGTGCGATGCAGTGGAAATAGATTCAGCGAGCCAGCCTTGACAGCGAACAGTCTTGAGCAGGTTCTGCATTTGTATGCTCAGGTAAACAAATATCTGCTGCTGCTTCGAATTGTTCTTGCCGAAGTCTTCAAAGCCGAAGCCTCACAGTTCAGGGATGATCATCGGGACGTGGCGTTGTTTGAATCTCGTGGAAGACTTTGCCACTGGAACCACTCACCGAATGCCGAACCTCTGCGCAGACACAGAAAAACTGCCCGTGGACTGAAGCACGGGCGAACACAAACTCAGACGACAACAGCAACAGCATGGAAGACAAGGCCTTGATTGGCGCAAGTTCAGATTGAATTCTGGTGTCGTTTCGAGTCGACTGTAGTGGAAAGCGCGTGGCTTCAACCTCGGTGCTCTCCGGTGGGATCTTCGTTGACAAATCCGTACGAGTAGCCTTCGGCGGTTGGGAAAAGCTTCGCTTGAAGCGAATGCCAACTCCGAAAACGGCCACCGCAGACGTAAAATGATGCAACACAGTTGGGCATGTACCAACGATATTCTTTGGCTGAGGACCTTCGGACGAGTGGCTGGCAACTGCAGGAGGCCAGACTGTAGGAGCAGGCACTATAATATTGTACAATGCTTACTGCGCCAGGCAGTTCAAAGTCATTCTAAGTCTCACAATTTTCCGCGGCCCACTCCCAACGTGCTACTTGTGCTGGCAGTGGTAGGGTAGTGGTCATGGTTTGGTGGTTTTCGTGGTGGTGGTGCTGATTGTTGTCGGTGGTGGTCCCTTTTATTTTCAGTAGTAGGTTGCAGTGGTAGTAGTAGCAGTAGTAGTAGTGGTCGTATTAGGAGTCAGAGCAATAGTATGAATGAGAATAGTTGCAGTATGTAGTAGTGGTGGGTGGCGGTGGCCGCGGAAAGGCTGTAGTAGTGGCAGGAGGTTGCGGCCCCCAAGATTAATCAATAACACAGCTGCAACCGACACGTACCATCACTTATCTAAAACAGGCCAGCAATTCAACCTACGAAAACCAAGGCGGAACTTCTGGAAAGGTGAATTCAGAAGTTTTGAGAACGCTGGGGGCTTTTCAAGATGGAAATGTGTAACATGTGGATGCAAGTTTCGTCCACGTGTCGCAGATCAGTCGCCAAGCAGACGCCACCTAGCAGACTCAGCCACCCAAAGGACCCAAAGAATCCAAAGATGCCGCCTCTGCTCACTCAAAGGCTGACCAGGAATATTTCCTTGGTAGGCATGACTCCCAAAGCTGTTCGATTCAAATTTGGTCCACGGTTTGTGGCCAAAAGGTTCTTAATATTCTGGACTGTGAACGTGTTCAGTTTGCATTGCGTTCTCAGTATCAGTTTATACCATCGAGTTCATGATATGACCGCATCGCCGGCGTGCAGGATCGCCATTATTGTTGTTGTCTCGCACCTACCGTTTGCATTCATCTAGAAGTTTTTCTTGTCACCAGCTAAAGTCATCATGGCCAACATCTTCAGGAACATGACGTTTTGTTTGTGGCCGCAAGAGTAGCAGTAGTACGTTGATCTGGGAATCGGGAACCGCAAGTTCAAACGGGCCAGGGTGACAAGTGGATAACGCCAGGCGTGTTTAAGTGGCATCCCGACTTGCCCTGAAATCGTGTACCTCGGATTGCTCAGGGGTGGGAGCCCCTTGCCACTTGTGCCACTTCAGGGGTGCGTGCCACTTGTGTTAGGGTTTAAGGTTTAGGGTTTTAGGGCTTAGGGGTTTAGGATTGAGGGTTTAGTGTGTGTACACAGTGTGCGCGCGCGCTGGGTGCCCTTCTTTAGGGATTGGGTCGCTTCTTTATGAATGGGGGCACGCCTACTCATCGTGCGCTGGTACTGGTAAAGCCATTGCTGCGCAAGTGTGCTGTGGGTAGCAAGTGGCACAAGTAGGGCAATAGGGGGGAAACCCCACCGGCACGCCACCTTGGACAACTTCTATTTACAGCCTCTTCAGATCGTTGTAATCTTGTCCAAGTTGCTACGAATGAGATTTTTTCACGTGTTTCTAGCATTTTCATGTTTTTGACTGTGAAGCCTTATCAATCAGACTGTGCTGTTGTTTGTATTGGTTAGGCATCTTTCGTACAGTCTTCACTTGCCTTGTCTGTCGATTGTTGTCGTAGCCTGTCTCCTTGTTGTCAATTTATGTTTTTGCTAGCAGGCGACTAGAACTACGAGTACTACTAGTACTACTAATAATACTCGTACTACTAGTACTACAAGTGCCAGTAGTACCAGTTACTAGAAGTACCAGTAGGACTTGTAGTCCGAATAGTACTAGTAGGACTTAGTTGGACTAGAAGGACTAGTAGGACTAGTAGGGTTCGTAGGACTAGTCGTACTAGTTGGCCAAGGCACTGGTAGTATCGATGGGACTGCTGTTTGTGTACTAGTACGTGCTTGTAATGCAACAAGAACGACTGGTAGTGCGACTGCCCCGTTTACTACTAGTACTTTGTACTAAGAGCATTTCTTCTAGCTTTACTTGTACTACCTGCAACAAACTTGACATGCTTACAAAAACCACGCGTTGAACATTCTTTCCGTCTTTGCGGGGGCAAAAACATATCTCAGAACCATCAGTGACTTTTCCATTATTGGGGGTGCCAGCCGCAGTTGCAACATTACGCAGAACGAGTTGCATGTGCTACACTCCCTGAAGGTCAAGGATCGCGCAGAGGTCCTTTTGAGGCACACAGTCCTCAGCAGCACCAGAATCTGGCAATCGTAGCAGGAAGCTCTCGCCAGTTTGCAGGCCTGCCCCTCATCGCACCAACAGCGCTTCCAGTGTTGGGATCATCATGCAAGCCGGGCCTGGCACGGTTTGGCATATGTTGCCGCCTGGTGGGCGACGTCTGTCATGCTTGGCAGTTGACACGGGTGCTTTGGGATGAGCTTCTCCCTCAGCTGGAACAAAGCCCAAAGGCCTCGACACAGGTCCGGCTCATGTGAGGCTGGCTGTTACATGACAATCAAAGCTTCGGCAGGCGGTGTTGGCACTCCTTGAACCCTTCGTCGGTCTGGCAGAGGGTTCGTACGTTGAGGGTTTGGTCATTGCCCTAACTGCAGCAGCTTGTCTCCACCAGAAAGTAATGGCCTGGGTCGTTGACAAAGGTTCGAAGCGTCCATGAGAACGTGTTCCGCAGGCTCCACGGAGGGCGCGAGACTGTGCTGAAGGAATGGCTAAGCTGTTTGATGTGAATGCAGGGTGCCAGAGGACTTGGTGAAGCAGCTTAAGAAGAGATTGCTTGGGCCTTGGGAGCCTTGGGTGGCTAGTCACTAGTCTGTTGGGATGACACCACCGACGCCTGATAGGCTGGCTGCTGCCAACGGCGCAGCAACGCAGAAGAACCGAGAAGCAAGTTGCTCAGTGCACCGATCAACTAACATCAACTAACCACATGCCAAGCAAGTCGCAAGCCGTGCAACAAAAGGCACTCTGCGACACGGTGGCAGAGCTTGAGAAGAGGCTCTCTTTTTCGACTTTCAGTGTCAGTCCTCCGCATGCACAGCTGAATTGCACATCTAGACTGTGGCTGCGTGCAGAGCTGTCCCACAAGCAGGAGAGTGCTGTGAACATAACAATAGGTGATGTTCCGGGAGCGGTCTGTGCCTACAAAATGAGCACACGCCGGCATATGCAACATCAGCAATACCAGCGTAAACAGTTTGTTACCCAACACCACCCGCCCCCTGGCTTTCGACTGCCTGACTCCCCTATTTGAGTGTTCCGTGCTCTTCTTGATGCGTTCGTACGCTTGTCCTAGACAGATCGTTGCTCTTGCAGTTCTCCCTCATCGCAAGTGCGGTCGGTGAATTCAGTGTCCGAGTTCCAGCATGGCAATCCTGGCCCCTGAAGTCGTTGGGCTGCATCAGCCCAACTTTCACAACGGCTGTAGTTGCCAATCCAATCCCGGAAACCATGATGTAACCTGATGTAACTCTTGCACATCGTTTGCTGTTGCGGAGTCGTCGTCACACTTGCATTGCGCATTGAATCTGCGGTGCCGCAATACTGCCGTTTGTCCACATATCGCATGCCAGTAGCTGCCCTCCAACAACTTCGAGGCCGCAAGTTGATGAAACATATACTCTGTCGACAAAATGCCTCCTGCGCAATCCTAGCGGTTTCTTGGGCCATCTTGAACCGCTCTGCAAACAACAAACAGATCCAAAGATATGCAAAGTTCGAATTCGTTGAGGCGTCTTCACTTCTTGTGCACGCTTCAGGTGCCTGGACGCCACTGCCGTGCTAGCGCCCGACGAGGCCCGGTCGGTCACGTGAGCTTGTACCTACGACCGCCGCAGTATCTCTGTTTAGGGACTTCATAGTTCTTAAAGTTTCGCCGCCCTTTGCGCAGATCAGCCGCTGTTAGGCAAACCTTCCTTCTGAAGGAGCGGCCTCAAAAGAGGCCCCGCATATCCCCGCATGCTGACATCGTGGAAACGCATTGTGGAAAGCTCTTGCTTGCAGCTGCAGGAGCCGAGCCAGCGAAGTTGCAAAAAGAAGCGGAAGAGAAAGGTACTGGCACTGACAACACGTCTGAGAGCTTGGACTCGTGACAGAAATGCTGGCTGAGTGCCGAGGTCCGTGCCGCCGCCGAGAGTCAGGAGAGGGTGAATGTCTCACCTCTTATGCTTCCCAAGGCATCTGCAATTGCCACGAAGCATGTTCCACAACAAGCACACGCGCCTGATTCCAGGCAGCCTTGCCCCTCAGATCGAAAGTCCTTGCGCAGAAGAAGAAGCGGCAGCAGAGGACTTGTAGATGCATGAGCAATGACCTAGCAGCAGCAGCCCGCGCAGGCTTGGACTTGGAATCGAGAAGGAAGCTGCACAACACGACCAAAAAGCCCAGGTGCTTCATGATATCTTATGTTCTTGAAACGATGCCGGGTGGTGTTGAGTCGGACAGTTGCGGCTGAAAAAGAGGTTGGGGTCCGCCGTCGGCGTGTGAGATTAAATCGGTCTGCAGTCTCGTCCAGAGCCTGTTAGGAAGCTCGCCCGGTCAAGCGTAGCAAGCGCAGCGGCGCATGTACAGTACGTTCTTGGCAGTCTACTAGAGTGCTGGCATGGGAGGATGGACCCAGCATACTTCTAGAACGCAGCGCAGCAGTCACTGCTTTTCATCAATTTTTTTTCATCCCAAAAATCTTCACCACTCCAGCACCACGTCTTGCACATTCTTGCACTGCTCCTTCATTTTGCCTTGCCGTTTCTGGCAGGCGCAACACAAGAGCCAGCATGAGGTCTTTCCACAGCCGATCTCTCAGACAGGTTACAGCCAGCATGTGCAGCTGTGGTGGAGAAGTAATGTAGTGACAGGCGTCTCTGGATGTGCTTTCCGGCGTCCTCCCTTGTTTGATGTGAGAGGTGGACCAAGTTTCCTGTTGAGTTAATTTGCTTTCTGGATGGGGCACTCGCCTTTTGCTTTTCTTACGATTTTCCATAGAGCCATTGCCAGACACTAGGCCCGCAGCGTGCCAACACGCATTCAAAATTCACAGTCAAGCGGAACCGCTCAATTGTAATGATTTGGTACCAGACAAACCGGCGTGTGAGATGCTGTTCTGCCCGCGCAATAATTCGTAGAACCATCAACCGCCGTCTGGCTGTGTGGATCCTGCTGACCACCTACACAGCCAAGTGAGTTTTACCGACAACTTTAGCTTGAAATCTGTGTTCGATTGGGTCACCCTGCCTGGAAGGCACTGTCAAGGATTCGAGGGGTGGAAGCTCGAGACGCTTTCGTTGTCCGGCCACCTGTGTCTTGGGAGACCTAGAAAACACGTCGGGCAGTGCGTTTTCTGGAGCCTGTTGACCGAAAAACCGGGCTCAAGTAGCGTGCAATGGCAGCAACCGCACACCCACAAGCCAAGTTATCGGTCGGAAGATTGAGCGCCCGGCCCGATCACAGTCGCTCGAGTTCGGTGACTCTAGGGCATGGCACAACCGCTTTCGTGTCTGCGCCGGCTAAAAGGGACTTCGCTCCGTTTCGGTTTCGCTCCGCCTTCGCAGGTGAGGCTCACGGCTCACGTGCTTCGCCTCCTTCGCCTCTGCGCTCCGCTCGTTGCTTCGCATTGACCGCGCCCCCTTTTCTTGAACTTTGAGTCTTTGGGGTTTGGGCTCCAGTGCAAGTAGGAGCAGTGTGGAAGACCGAGGCTTGCGAGTGAAGCGGCAAGGAAGAAAAAGATCAAGAGGAAAGTGTCCTTCGACCTGAACAAAAACGAGGCCGAACCTTGAGACATCAGCGTGAGTCCCTTGCCGCCTGCCTCGGCTGCAGCTGCTCAAGGTCGTCAGGTTCTCCGAGAAGACACCAGTCTCGAAGATGAAGGCCTGTGTTGCATCTGAAGAGGTGGAGATGTCGTGTATGAAGTATTCGTCTTATTTGTGTGACTCCATAACGATGCCAGTGCTGTCAGCTGCATTACATGATGATGATAAGGCTGATAATGGTGATGATGTTGCTGATGAGGGTGACGTGGAAGATGGTGATATGGAAGGAAAGGCCGGAGGAGCTGGGTTTGGGGACAGCAGCATTGAATAACCACGTACGTACCACTGAGGACCTAGGCCCGGCACCTGGCCCCGTTCTTTCATAGCGGTCATAGAGGATGTAATGTGGATGTGGGTCATCAGACCGTCACCATCATCATGGTCATCATGACTGTCATCGTCATCCCCATTTCATCATCTGCATGACGATCATCAATCACTATGCCCCTCGTCCCTGAGCTTGCAGCACTGCGCTTGCAGTAGAATCATCATCAGGATCGCAACCATGATGATTCGTCATCATCTGCTGTGTGAATCGTCATAGTGATTGCCTTCATCGTCTGACGATCAACAATGGATATGCCCCCCGTCCCTGAGCACGTAGCCTTGCACTTGCAGTAGACTCATCAGCAGGATCGCATCATCATGATTCGTCATCATCTTCTGCGTGCATCGTCCTACGCGTAGCGATTGTCTTCGTTGCCATCGTCGTCATCATCACAGTCATCGTTATCGCCGCTTTATCATGCGCATGACGATCGTCAATCACTATGCCCCCCGTCCCTCAGCCTGCAGCTTGCAGCATTTCACTTGCAGTAGAGTCATCATCAGGTTGCCATCATCAGGACTCGTCATCATCTCATGCGTGAATCTTCTTAGTGGTTGCCATCATTACCATCATCGTCATCATCAGTCGTCATCATAACTGTCCTCTTCATCGCCGTTTCATCATCCGCATGAGAATCAATGAGCACTGCCCCCCCCGTCCCTGAGAATGCAGCCTCCAGCACTGCACTTGCAATAGAGTCATCATCAGAATACAATCGTCTTGATTCGTCATCGTCCTAGTGATTGCCTCATCATTAGCGTCATCATCACAGTCATCAGCATCGCCTGTTCATCATCCGCATGACGATCATCAATGACTATGCCCCACGTCCCTGAACATGCAGCTTACAGCGCGGCACTTGCAGTATCACAATCATCATGATTCGTCACTATCTTCTGGGTGAATCGTCATAGTGATGGCCTTCATTACCATCACTGGTCATCATCATCATCGTTACCATCGTCGTCGTGATGGTGGTCACCCTTATGCTCGCCGTCGACATCGCCATCATGTCCGTCATGACTGTCATTCTCACCGTCATTACCGTCATCACCATCATCACTATCCTCTTTGTCGTCGCCCGCATGCTCACCGTCATAGTAGTACTAACCATCATAGCCATCATCATCATCATCATCTTTATCTCTGGCATTATCACAGCCATCACGGTCAAGATCATGGTCATGATGATTAGCTTGCCTTGGCAGGGTTCCCTCTCAAGCATCTCGTTTTTCAGCTCGGTAGGAGATTCCGCGGAAAAAAGCGAAGAGGAGGCGATTACACTGTCCGGTTTTCACATTGCATGTCCCCGTCGTGCGCCCAGCAGAGGTGAACCTCAAAGGGACGTGAGCTGCTCGATCCTTACATGCCTCACGTGCCGAACTTGATCGGAACTTGCTTGGCGATGGTGGATGTGGACAACATCATTGCACCGGACGACCTGATGCCGCAGTAGATACAAGGTGGAGGGAAGCAAGATAGAAGTGAACGCCTTTCGGACTAGCACGAGACCGGGTGCTTGGAGAGTTGCTTGGCCACTGAAAATGCGTTCATCGCCTTTGCTATCCTTGTGAACCCTCCACATCTCCGGTGGGTCGTGTGCGTGTCGGTGTGCGCGTGCATCTGTGGGTGTGGCGAGAGAGGGGGTTTTGTAGATGTGGCAAACTTCTGCGGCAACACATGCTCCGAAATTGCGTACGCTGCCATTGGCACAAGTGCTTCAACTAAGACCTGCAATGGTCCACACTTGCGTGAAAGCCTGCCGGCGACTTGCTGGCGCGTGTGTGGGTGTGTGTGCGCGTGTGTTGGTGTGCGGTGTAAACCATTGTCAGTTTTCGAAGGCAGACTTGGTCGGTTTTGCAGATTTCGAGCGCGGCGGAAGGCACAAACCGCCAAAGCAGTGTTGCCCAGTTCTTGCTTCGGCAATTCCACTCCAGAGGCGGCTCTGAAAAGGGCTGCATGGATGACTTCAGCTCAGAGCACGTTTTGGGGCGGTGATTAAATCGAAGAGGGAGAGCCTCATCCAACCGTCATAACTGTGCATGACTTCCTCCAGGCCTTCTTGCAGTTTCCGCGGATGACCTCGCCAGTTCTCCCTTGTGATGCCAGGAGTGGTAGCTTGAAGAAGGAATGTGTAGGTAGTGCACACAGTCGCGCCGACAACAGTGTGTGTTGGCAATTGTTTGATTATGATGCTCATGAATGTTTGATTATGATGCTCATCAACGCTCATTATACTTCGAAGGTGCTTTCGCTGAACGCTGCCGAGGGAAAGGCATAAAGACGGGACACATCCGTGGATCTTTCGGCTAGAGCCTTTCCCTCTTTAGCGGGTAGTACTTTCAGAGTGCGTACTTACCCAACCCACCCTTCCAGTTCTGCATAGCTAATGCATGTTAACCAATGTATTTTGAAGGAACTTCGGCTTTGGGATGATTCGTACCTTTGCGAAGCTCTTTCGGATCCACAGGAACCGCACATGAGCCTTGTCAATGTGAGTGGTCCTGTCGCCGCCTTTCAGGCTAATGACTGATAGTTCCGGAGCGTCCTTTGCAATGAAGCCTCCGTCAGATTGTCTTCCTTGCGACAGGTGACAAGTAGCTCAAAGCTGCCATAGCCACAGAATTCGATAAACCGAGCCAAGCGCGCCCCGATGAAACTTCTAGGACTTTGAAGCTGCTAGTATGCCATGCAATCCAATGAAGAGGGGCACAATTTTTGGATACTTACCTCGCAGGCGCAGCCCTGAGTGAGTCGACATGTGCATGTCGCCGGTATTGCGCTGACACAAGGTGTGTTTCTATGCGGCCTATGGCACGACAGGATTGGCGGCAGCGCGCTTCCAAGATTTCGTGTTCTGTAATTTGAGTTCGGTCGGCCTTTGTACTTTTTAGAGACATATGCATTTTTTCATTGATGGTGCAGCGCTGCTGGGCCCCCCTCCCCCCCAGCCCATGGTATTCCCCACTCCCCCACGCTGCGGTTCCCTGTGCGTGTGTTGCCCGCTGCCCCTCCCCCGTGTGGTTGTGGTTGGCTGCGCCCCCTTCCATGACTTTTGCAGGTTGGGAGTCCGGTTGCTAAGGGTTTGCGCCGACCTTGCCTGAACTCCGAAGCCAATGACAATGATTATTGTTGTGGTGATGATGACGGAGATGGTGCTCATCATCCCCATCCGCACTCTCCTCCGGTACTTTTCTCAAGAGTCCCGAATGAAAATAATTCCAACGCCTGCTAAGCTTAGAAGCCAGCGAAACTTGGCATAGAATGACAACGGTCGACAATGAACATGCGCTACCGAAGCCCAGAGCAAAATGAGAGCAGTAGTACCACGAACAACCGTGCTGGGAATACCAGCATGCAAGAAGCACATCAGCATCATTGTGCACAACATTATCGCCATCATTCTCATCTGTGTGAGGAGGGGGAGGGGGGGAGATGGGGGAGGGTTGCGCCATTCACGGCCAAAAAGTCGCGAAGACTGCGCGAGAGTTGACAGTTACGAGGAGGATGACACAGACGCGCGCCATCCCTATGACTGTTTGCTCGGATGAAAGGCATGGCTTGGCACTGGCAGTAGGGGGGGGTGCATACCATGGGGTGTTGGGGCGGGGGGGGGGGGGGGCATTGACGCGGCGACGCGGGACACTTTATGCTCAGATATGCCTGTGTGGTTTTCTTTGCAAATATTCAGATGCCCATAAGAGGTCTCTGAACCGCCGCGCCAATTGAATGGGGGGCGGGAAGCAGCCGGGCAAAAAAGTGACAGTGTTGATCTGAAAAGTCTTGGGGCTGTTAAATATTCCTTTAAGCTCCTCGGAAACGGCACGGGCACAGCTTTGATAGAAACTGGCGTGGGAGGATGCGGGACGTTTGGTACACAAGTCTTGTACTGGACCGCACGGACAGGTATGGTTTGCAGCCATCAACTTCGTCGGTGATGAGGCTTATCATCCGCTGGACTTCTTTTCCAACAAGATGAGAACCAGGCGAGGCGGCGAGACCTAATATGTTTGCCAAGTGGACAGCCCCCTTTGATGCCTCCTAGCCGGAGCAGACGATTTCAAGGAGTTTTTATGCGAGCAAGCTTGAACGGCTGACTTTGCATGCGCTTTTTGCTGAAGGCCATACTGGTACCTTGCAGTACATGGCCTCAGTTTTTTTCTTTACCGCTGCGGGTTGCGGCCTGCAGATTACTATGCGTTTGACTGAGATAAGGTGGTTGCTGTCACAGGTGGGCTGCTAGGCGTCGACATGGTCACGGCCCCGGACAGCTCCAACGTGACCTTATGCTACATCTTGTCCGGCTCCATGTCCCACGTAAGTAACAATGTCAGCGTGCCGCACGAGACGTAGGCAGGGTGTGTGGTGGTAGTGGTCTCCTTCATGCGCGCTGTGCTTGCGAGTTAGCTCTGACGCAACCAGTGTCCCTCGACTTCGTGTGCCACCGTGTTTCGTTGGAGTCAGTGTGATGCTTTTTGTTGCAAGGATGATTTTTTTCTCACTGTAGGCCAGCGGCTATTTGGAGGAGCTGTCCAACGCTCTGCCAGAGTTGGTGGTTTGTACCAACCTCCAGGATGGAAGGGAAGAGCCCAAAGACCGACTTCATGCCGTTGAACAGTGCTTGGCACAACCTCAATGTCATGTCAGGGCTTTGTTTTGGTGGGCACGATGATGTTTTCTGAGTCTGTTCAGTCCTCAGGACAGGCTTTGTCGTCTCATTTTGTCGAATCGTCCCTTTCTGCATTTTTTGACTCAGCATAACCATAGGCTGGCGCCGCCATGGTGACCATGCTCGCCCACATGATTGTAACAAAAGGGTTTGCCAGCAGCTTAGTTAATCAGGTTTCATGAGGTGTCAATGACTTGCATTGCATATTGCAGCATGAGACCGAGGTCGTTGTTATTACTATTCCGACTGCGCCCTTCATGCCGGGAGCAATCCCGCTGCATTTCGGTAAGGAGACCTGAGCTTGTCAAGTGCGGGAGCTGTATTGTCATGAGGCCGTGTACTCCAATGCCTACTTCTTAATGTACATCTTCTTTGTCTTCTTCCTCAAGGCGATCGCTCGGACTGCCCGGCTACTCTTGCCTCCGTATGGATGTGCGCACGATGGCGTTGGTTTCGCTAGCCGAAGGAATCGAAGAATCATCAAAACAACGACAAGTTTTCAACCTTTCGCATGTCTGCGCTTTCTCAGCTTTTCAAGCTCCTTTTTGGGGTTTCCTAAAAGATGGGGACCTGTAGTATGGAGTTTTTTGCGATATACATAACTATACAGATGTATATGGTAGTTGGTCTAAATCCTTGAGCCATAGTTTATATTCATATTAAAGACCAACTGCATAGCTAGCTAAATATGCCTTCGCGAAAGTTCGGCGATGGTGCCGCTAAAGCTATTCATTTGTTTGTGAAAGTTATCTGTTTAACATACTTGCGGTATTATTACAATTACTACTATTGTTACTGCTACTAATCCTATGACTGTGAATACAATGACTATTACAATTACTGCTGTTATTGCTATTACTATTGTTAATGTTGTCATTGTTACGATGATTACTATCATATTACTATGATCGCTATGGTTAACATGAGTACTATGATCTCTACATGGTGACTGTTATTTTTCTTCTTCTTGACTGTTTTTGTTACTACTATTACTGCTCTTAGTACTACTACGATTATGATTACTTCTGCCACCACCACCACCACCACCACCACCACCACCACCACCATCATTCCTCACAGTCTTGCTACTGCAACTGCTACTGCTGTTACTACTCCCGCTGCAGCTGCTACTGCTACTGCTCCTGCTGCTTTAGCACGTAAGTTCCGCGTAAGTGACGTTAAAGTCGGTCGACGCAGCCGGATCAAGACCACCCCCGAAGGGAGAATGTTTGTACATTTCGCGATTGGCTGGCGAAAGGGGCACCTCTTAGGCAGGCCTCCAGAAACTCTCAATTCATTTTGCCCCCAAACGCTTTGCAACCGAGAAACTTTCAGGAAATTTTGTCCAGAATCTATACCCTAAGACGGCTTCGTTAAAACTCCAACCCTTAAGACGGCCTTGACCAGCCCTCTCCAACTATTGTAGATTTTCACGCAGCGCTGAAGCCCCTAGAAAGCCTGCCAGATTCTCTTAAGTTTAATGCCCGTAAACTCTTGCCATCGAGAAGGTTGTTGTTTGTCATTCAGGGCCCTAACCTGCAAAGGTGGATAATTAATTATGTCTCCGTGAAAGTTCCGCGATGATGTTGCGAAAGTTACTCATTAATTCGCGAAGAAGGTCATTTCGGAATGAAGCAGTTTAGATCTACAGCCCTATAAAAATAAATCAATATATGCATATATATATATAGAGAGAAAACAGGGTATAGGCATCTTTTTTTGGGGGTACCCTCAAAGCCCCCACTTGAGCCGATCATGTACTACATCCGGGGTTCGAGGTTCGTGTCATCAACCTACCTTTTGCTTGAATCCAGAAGATTTTTGCCCTGACTTGCAACATTGCTGTCACTACCAACACACATTTGAATTTCCAACATTTCTGACACACGTAGTGGTATTTACAGTTTATCGGATCTTTCAATTGGAAATGTTTGGAATGTCGGAAATTTTGGAATTTCTCAAGCTTTGGAGGTTTCAAGATTTGCAATCGGTCGAAGTGTCCAGCTTAGTATCAGCCTCGAGATCTTTACCAGGTTCCACACAATTCAGACAGCAGCTTTTTGTCGTAGTTGTTGTAACCGCATTGCATGGCCAGTGTGTCTTAGTTTATGTGCTTTCTATACAAGTTTCTGCGAAACCCATTTACGGAAGATTGAGGGAATTGTAAGCTATGGTTCTCATGGTTCAAACGGTATAGACAATACCTGATATGGTGAGTAATTACACACACGCAAAATACTCATGTCTTACCCAGTTACTGTTCACGAGTTACTGTCAGCTCCTATCCGTTCAAGTATTATTTACGTTAGAAGTGCTTTTCCTATTGCATTTTCAAGTGTTCTCTGTTTCGTGAAACTTGAACTGCAAGGTAAATAGTTAAAGAAGCCTACAGTATCCAAGTAACATTCGAATTGTTCAGTGCTCTGCTGACTTGTGTATTGGTGGCGTTATCAGTATGTGACAATATGGAGTATTTGTCTGTTGTTTGCAGGCTAGTGTACGAGCAGTGACCAGCATGCGATGGAATTCTGTACCACTTACTGTTCACGTAACATTTCAATGTATTTCGGATTATTCTTTCAAACTAGCCAGCCTATGATTCACATTTGTTAGCAGATCGTTGCTGCAATACACGAGACAGGTAGCAAGCTAATGCGAACCTTCGAACGTTCACTACGGTCTTTGTGTTTGAGCAGGAGGCAACACAAAGCGAAATTACAGATCACAGCATGTTATGCATGCATAGCCTCGATATGACATGACTGAATCGTGTATTAACTTGCCTGTGCTCAGGCTAGCCTTGCCAAGCATCAGGTCGGATGTCAATGGATGCCGAAAGGTCTAGGCTTGCCTAGACATTGGGTGAAACATCGCAGAAAGACAAAGTTAAAATAAGTCTTCAGTGAGCACAGGCCAAACATCAGTTGTATGGGATCAAGTTGAATTACATGAACTTACGGTTTCTCGACGGGTCGTATTGTGTTAATCGGAGGGCTCGCAACGGCAAGTCGTAACTATACCGCAGCCGTTCGACTTAGGCGCATCCGTTCCGCATACCGACGGTGTGCTAGCCTTTTCTTTAGACTGTCACGGCTTGATGCCTTCATCTTCGGACTCGTCCCGCTCCTGTCCTCCCCGCCGTCGGCGGCGAAGGGCCCGGCGGTCCTCGAGTACATCATCCTCGTCTTCGAGGTTGGCCTTCGGCTTAACATTTCAGCCTCTTGACCCTTTCTGTCAGGCGGCCCCGGTCCCGCCTCTCCGCCAGGAGGCCGACCCTGCCTTTATACACTTTCCGCCTTGGCCCATAGCTGGCTGAGGTCCTTTGGTGCTCAGCTCCGTTCCATCATGCATGGTCCCCAGCTGTAAGCACTCTTGTCTTTTGCTTCACGTTGGCTCTTCCCAGGCCTGACCCGGCTCCTGGTCCGCCGGTCTCGCCCCCGAAGGCCTGCTTGCAAGCTTTGTCCGGTCATGCTCTCGCCCTGGCTGCTTGACTAGCCTTGTTCTGCTCGAGCGACCCTTGTCTTCCTCCGCAGCCGCTTTCAGCTTTCATCGCTCTTTGCCTTTTCTGCCTTTCGCTCTCGGTGATCATGGCCCGCTTTGGTGGACACGCTCTCCGCGATCTGGCGCGTGGTGTGGTGGGAGCTGCCGTGGGCATCCGGTCCGACGTCGACCCGACTCCGGCCGATGTCGAGGCCCCTCCGGCTCCGGACGCTCAAGGCTGTCCCGACGGAGGCTCCGGCCCAGGACACGACCGTGGCTCCGGACCCGGTCCCCCCCGTGGATCCACCTGCCACCCCGTCCCAGCCCCCGGCCAAACGTGGTGCCGACTTCCTCGCGCCCCAGAAGCAGCCTCCCAGCCACCCCCCTCTTCGAGACGGACCTGTCATTTTTATGCACTCTGGACGATGATGCCATTTACCGGTCCCTTGCCGACTTGCCACCGTCCCAGGTGACTCGACTTCTTCTTTTGATCGCCGAAGTCGCCCAGGACGTCACCTATGCCATGGGCAACCTGGGCCAGCTCGACGTTGAGGTTCCGGTCGCGCACATGTCCCAGACCGGCCCGCCTCCGAACCGAGGACGCTATCCGCAGACGACGCGTGGTGACCTTGCACCGTTGCCGGCCGGTCCGCGCTTTCCGGACCAACAGGCAGCCGACGCCATCCATGCCGGTCTGGACCAGAACGATGGCACCAGGCCCGATCCCAACCCGGCCCCGCCGAACCCCACCGACGGAGCTGGTGCTGAATCCGGTGGCCTGCGTGTCCTGCCCGGATTCGCCCGCCCCCGCCAGGCACTCTTGACGGACACGTCGGGCATTGACCCGAACGAGCCCCTGGTCCACTCGGATCCCAACCGCCCCGGCTGCACTCCGGTCTTTGTGGATCGGGGCCAACTCACCCTGCGCCGGGCCAATACCGGCCCCTTGGACGATCAGCGAAGGCTGGGAGCGCTTGAGCATTTTCCTGCCTGAGACGCCCGGCCCGTTCATCCGCACGGACTCCTGGCCCTGGCCCGACCTCTTTTGCTTTGAGGAGCAGGACTTGCCAAGCTGGGCTCCGCTTCAGGACCCTCCGTCTGTCCTGTCTCACCTGCAAATTCGCGGATACTGCTCGCACGATTGTCCGGCCCGGGGCCCGCACTGTCTCCGCATTTGCCTCCGGCCCGTGATGTTGCATTCCCGGACCGATCACACCGGGCACAAATGCCCGTATTGTATCCAAGACGGGTACTAGGCACCTGGTCCGGACCGCCCCGCGTCATTGTGATTCTCCGGCCTCGGCCCCTGGGCCCTCGGCACCGCCTCATTCCAGCCCCTCGTCGGCATCCTCTACATCCTTTCAGGTCGTGCCGGTCCCTACTGCTCACCCCATCGCTCCCCCCTTGCCTGGACTTGCATCATTGCTTGTGCCTCGCCTTGGGCTGGCCTTGCCCTGCCTGTCCCGTGCTTCTTTGTCTGTGGACCTGGCTGCTCGCCCCCGGCCCGCTCGGCCTCGGCCTGCCCCCTTCCCCTTGTTCCGGCCTCTTCGCTGCCCGGCTCTGCGCCCTGCACGTTCGGCTCCTACGTTTCCGTTGGGCCCACCACTTTTATCCTGCCCACGGGTACCCCGCCTGCCCCGCGACCCATTGGCGTACCCCCGGGGTCTTTCTGCCTCTTCTTCGGAAACGCGGCCCCCTGTGATTCCCCCGGCTCCCTTTGTGCATTCTGGCTTTTTGCCACTGGCCACTGACGCCTCCGATTCCTCCTCTATGGAATCCACAACTGCTCGCGCCTTGGCACATTTTCGCAACATGTTTTGCGACTTTGTTCAGGAGCTTGGTGACCGCTGCACCCTGTTTTTGCATACCAAGTTGGTACCCGTGCCTCGGGAACTCCAAGCACGTGCCA